GACCACATGACCATTCACTCTGAAGAGAAAGCTTTCACCTGCTCCGAGTGTGGAAAGAGTTTCAAAATGAAGAGGATCCTTAAACAACACATGAAAATTCACACTGGAGTGAAACCTTTCACCTGCTCCGAGTGTGGAAAGAGTTTCAAAATCAAGAAGATCCTTAAACAACACATGAAAATTCACACTGGAGAGAAACCTTTCGCCTGCTCTGAGTGTGGAAAAGGTTTCACAGTGAAACAAAACCTTAAATATCACATGAGAAATCACACGGGAGAGAAACCCTTTACCTGTCCTGAGTGTGGAAAGAGTTTCATTGTGAACAAGAGTCTTAAACAACACATGAAAGTTCACACTGGAGAGAAGCTTTTCACCTGCCCTGAGTGTGGAAGGAGTTTTGCTTTTAAACAACCCCTGGAGAAACACATGAGAATTCACACTGGAGAGAAACCTTACATATGCCCTGAGTGTGGAAACAGTTTCAGAGACAGACAAAATCTTAATGTTCACATGAGAATTCACACTGGAGAAAGGCCTTACGTCTGCCCTCAATGTGGAAAGGGTTGCAGATTGAGACAAAACCTTCAGAATCACATGAGAATTCACACTGGAGAAAAGCCTTTCATTTGCCCTCTGTGTGGAAAGAGTTGCAGAATGAGACAAAACCTTGAGAGACACATGAGAATTCACACTGGAGAGAGGCCTTATACCTGCTCCGAGTGTGAAAAGAGTTTCACAATGAAACAGCGCCTTACGAGACACATGAGAATTCACACTGGACAGAGGCCTTTCGACAGACCAGAAAACCCACCAGCTATTGAATATGTGATATAGTCAATCTGTTTAAATGATTAGGCCATTTGACACAATAAGACTAAATGGAATACCGTAACTGAGAGTTTTTACTATTAGTTTACTTGCAGCAACTGCAGTCATAATCTTGATGATTCGTTTAAAACTTGTATAGCCCTAACAGAAATACGTACAGTAGTCAACATTTGAAGTGGATCAAAAAAGTTAATCAAAG